TCTTTCCCAAATCCTCATTGTATGGCTCATCAACTTTATCCCTCTGTAGTTGTTACAACTCTGTGCATCACCCTTCTTATGAATTGGCACCAGAACACTTTTCCTCCACTCATTAGGCATCTTGTCCGTCTCTAAAATTCTGTTAAACAACCTGGTCAAGAAATCTACCGCAACTTCTCCTAAGCACTTCCATACTTCCACTGGTATGTCATCAGGACTAACTGACTTTCTAACTTCACCTTTTCTAACTTCACCCTTTCTAACCTGATCTACCTTCTTCCTAATAGTCTCTGGTTCCTCGTTTCTACTTTCCTTTTCATTTTCCTCATTCAACAACTCCTCAAAGTATTCCTTCCCCTATCTGTCCTTAATCAACCTCACCTGCTGCACATCCTTCCCAGCTTGATGTCTCGCCAATCTATACAATTCCTTTTCTCCTTCCTTTGTTTCCAAACTCTCGTACAACTCCTCATATGCCTTTTGTTTGGCCTTGGCCACTTCCCTCTTCCCTCTTCACCTCCCTTGTCCTCTCTTTGTACTCCAGTCTGTTCTCTTCTGTTCTGTCACTGTCCCATCTCTTTTTCACTAATCTCTTTCTCTGCACACTCTCCTGGATCTCATCATTCCACCACCAGGTGTCTTTGTTCTCCTTTCTCTGCCCAGAGGACATACCTAGCACTTTCCTACCTGTCTCCCTAATCACTGCAGCTGTAGTCTCCCATTCATCTGGGAATTCCTCAACACGGCCCAGAACTGCCCCTACTTCCTTACTGAAGTCTTCACAACATGTCTCTTTCCTTAGTTTCCACCACTTGATCTTCTGTTCTGTCTTCACTCTCTTCCTTTGTTTCACCTCCATCGTCATCTTGCACACTACCATCCAATGTTGTTTGGCTACACTCTCTTACAGTCTCTAATCTCCCTCAGATTACCTCTTCTACATAGAATATAATCTATCTGTGTAGACCTGCCTCCACTCTTGTACGTCACCCTGAGTTCCTCTTTCTTTTGGAAATAGGTGTTTACCACAGCCATTTCCATTCTCTTCGCGAAATCTACCACTGCCTGTCCTTCCAAGTTTCTCTCCCTAACACCAAACCTACCTATCACTGCCTCATCCCCTCTGCTCCCTTCCCCTACATGATCATTAAAGTCTGCTCCAATCACCACTCTCTCTCCTCTGGGGATACTCTCTATCATCCAACCCAGCTCCTTCCAGAACTTCTCCTTTTCTTCCAACTCACAGCCCACCTATGGGGCATAACCACTAACAACATTTATCATCTCTCCTTCTACTTCTACCTTCACACACATCAACCTGTCTGACTCTCGTTTCACCTCTACCACATTTCTTACATATTCTTCCATTAGGATCACCCTTACTCAATTTCTCTTCCCATCTGAACCATGATAAAACAGTTTGTAGCCTCCCCCAGTGTTTCTAGCCTTACTGCCCTTCAACCTGGTCTCCTGCACACACACAATTTCTACTCTTCTTCTCTCCATCACATCAGCTATTTCTCTACTTTTCCCTTTCATTGTACCTACATTCAGAGTTCCAAACTTCAGACCAACACTTCTATTCTTCATCTTTTCTCTTTTTCTCCTAACCAAATGCCCTCATCGTCTTCTCTGTCTTTGACCAACAGTAGTCCAATTTCCATCAGTGTCCTCTAGGTCAACAGCACTGTTGTCGGTCGTTGTTAACCCGGGCCGATCTAGTATGGAAATTGTTTTAGTGATTTTTAAGTTGGGGGACTAGGACATAGTCGACAACCCCTCTGACAACACATTTGCACATGAGGATGTCCAAGCAGCTGTTGCAGTTCTGAAACACACACTGATGAAGACATTGTCCGTGAGAAGCTGAAAGCTACCTTCACTTATCGCCAAGCAATTGTCAATGATGACAGCAAATCAGCAGATGTGTTCTTGGTTTTCCCACATTTTCTGTACACACCGTGACTGGTACAACATCTTAATTCAATTATTTCATGGCAATTTCCAGTATAGCCACAGTGCAGTATCTCTCATTGTTACTCTTTGTTTGTATGTGTCTGTGTTACAGAACAAGCAAGATTTCAGATTTCTGTTTGGAAAAATGCCCTCATCGTCTTCTCTGTCTTTGACCAACAGTAGTCCAATTTCCATCAGTGTCCTCTAGGTCAACAGCACTGTTGTCGGTCGTTGTTAACCCGGGCCGATCTAGTATGGAAATTGTTTTAGTGATTTTTAAGTTGGGGGACTAGGACATAGTCGACAACCCCTCTGACAACACATTTGCACATGAGGATGTCCAAGCAGCTGTTGCAGTTCTGAAACACACACTGATGAAGACATTGTCCGTGAGAAGCTGAAAGCTACCTTCACTTATCGCCAAGCAATTGTCAATGATGACAGCAAATCAGCAGATGTGTTCTTGGTTTTCCCACATTTTCTGTACACACCGTGACTGGTACAACATCTTAATTCAATTATTTCATGGCAATTTCCAGTATAGCCACAGTGCAGTATCTCTCATTGTTACTCTTTGTTTGTATGTGTCTGTGTTACAGAACAAGCAAGATTTCAGATTTCTGTTTGGAAAGACCACTGCCTACAAATTCTTGGAGAAGTGGCCAACTTTTTTCAAAGCTAAAATAATAAAGGAAGTGCAGAGTCAGCGGCTGAAGTTGAGAATGGTACGACATTGTTTACTTGATATTACTGATTGCACGCATGTGCAGTGCCCTTCTTGGTAATGGTACAACTTCTCAAATTAATATACTATGATGTTAACACATTTTTGGTAGGCTGGGACAGTGACATGTCTACTATTTTACATCTACTGCCATCATCTGCGCAAGTTCGAAAAAGGCCAGGAAAGATGTCTGCATCTCAAGATGTACATCAGCTCATTAAATTTCAAAAGGTTTATTAAAAAGTTTTAAAATTAATTTTTCTTTACATCAATCTTACACACAGTTTAAGGTGTGATCAAATGTAGTCTAATCAGATTTTACTAACCAAAAATGATGCTGAATGCCTTCTGTCACAGACTGGAATCAGTGTGCAGCAGCATTTAGACAACATCACCCAGCCAGCCCTACCTTCTTGCTGTGGGAACCACACCAAGCAGCATTCACCACTACTTCATTGTGATCGACAAGCATGCACTTCCTTGCAAGGCATCTAGTTCTGTGGGAGTCTTTGACAAACTCTTGAAGGCTCATTATGGCCTGCCCTTCTTGGTAATGGTACAACTTCTCAAATTAATATACTATGATGTTAACACATTTTTGGTAGGCTGGGACAGTGACATGTCTACTATTTTACATCTACTGCCATCATCTGCGCAAGTTCGAAAAAGGCCAGGAAAGATGTCTGCATCTCAAGATGTACATCAGCTCATTAAATTTCAAAAGGTTTATTAAAAAGTTTTAAAATTAATTTTTCTTTACATCAATCTTACACACAGTTTAAGGTGTGATCAAATGTAGTCTAATCAGATTTTACTAACCAAAAATGATGCTGAATGCCTTCTGTCACAGACTGGAATCAGTGTGCAGCAGCATTTAGACAACATCACCCAGCCAGCCCTACCTTCTTGCTGTGGGAACCACACCAAGCAGCATTCACCACTACTTCATTGTGATCGACAAGCATGCACTTCCTTGCAAGGCATCTAGTTCTGTGGGAGTCTTTGACAAACTCTTGAAGGCTCATTATGGCCTGTATGTCATACAGTTCCTCCTTGACCAACTTTTTTACTTTTGTGCAAACTACCATCTACAACATTGACATGGGAGAAACATAACACGCTCACTTACCGCCCACATTTGATTGTCTGTGGCAGAATTGAATCTAAAATGCCCCTGTTTTTGGAGTTTGTTTATTGTATTGTTTTGATTATTGTTCTGATTATAGATAGAAAACTGTTATTGCTTACTGTGCCTTTAATTCCAATTACTTTTCAAGAGCATCTCCATGCATATGAAGTGAGTAGGTCAAAGCATGATTTTGTTCACTTTCATGTGGACAACCTGCAATATCCTAGGCCTTTTGACCTACAAAGGTCATGTGGAGTGAATAACTCTTCATTATTCATTGTCCCATATTGCTTTCTTTTGTAAGCTTTCATTTTTATTTTAATATGTCATATAGACAATGCAAATATGGAGATCACTGGCACCTTCATGATTTCTAAAATAAATACTGGCACCGGTAATCCTGTGTTGTGTTCTGTTTATTTTCATTTCATAGTACATCACATTAATTCTATAATGCTGCTTCAAATGTAGTAAAAGCACTACAAAATCTGAGGCTAAAAAGAATTACACATTAAAGTCTTTTAAAAAAAATAAATTTGGAGTTAACTGGATTCTCTACAGTGTAACCATATTGCTCTGAACAGTGTAACTATGCCACAGTGTTAAATATTTGTTCACATTCCATTGTTAATATTTACACAAATATTGAGTATTTATACAATATTGAGTAGAATTTACTCTGAAAATGTTACACTGACCATAGAGTAAGATTTACACTAGTTTTGAGTGGGACCAAATGTTATCTGAAATGGAGTTAATTTAAACTCTTTAAGAGTTAGATTAACACTTGTATTTTTACTGCGTAGTATCTGTTACGACATGAAAGTGGAGATTGAATGATTCACCATTTCAAGTCTCTCTATATATTAGATATTGTTGTTTTGTATTTAAAAAGCAAAATTGTAAAATTGTAAAAAATTTAAAAAAATGAAAGCAACGTTTTCTGTCATATGGACAAAATGCTGTTATATTATAATAATATAACAGTTTAGGAAGACATAACTTAGCATTAAATGCCTGTTAAAAAACACATCAATTTGAGGCATTTTTATGAAATGTAAAGTTGACCATTATAAACAATTAAATCTTTGTTTGGAGATACTTTCTTCATCATTTTATACTAGATATTAAGAAGTACTGCAAATACTACGACATGAAATTAAAGTCAAATCAACAGGGCAAAAATATTCCTAAATTTATAGACTGTATATAAGATAGAAATAATTATTTATTCTTCTTCTACCAGTGTCATCAGTACAAAAATAATAACTTATAAATAACAAAAGGTCTGTCTTTTTCCCTTTTGTTTTCATGCAAAAATGACATTAGATAAATCTTCATATTAAATGAAACATAATACGTATTACAAAACATTTCCTGAACATGAAGTGTTTTGTTTGGTTTTTTTTGTTGTTGTTTTTTTTTAAAATTGGTTAAACGGGACAGTTTTGGCATCATGTATAAAATTGATAACTATATAAAAATGTATTGTTTGTTTGGATGTTTTTTATGTAAATTTAATTAAGTTTGTAAAAAGATTAAATTAAATTAACAAAGTGTTTGTAGTTTGAACTTTTATAAAGGTTAATACCTTGTGTTGGCAGCAAAACTCAAAATTGAATGCAGTATGTTAATCTAGAAGTTTGGCTCTCATATTTTATCATTTTTTCCTCAAAAAAAGGAATAGTCTCTGACCCCGGGTGCCTTCGCTCACCACGAACACATGCGGTCGTGAACCCTGTGATGCAGAGCTGAATGGCTGCTCATAGATCATACCTAAAAGACTAAAAGAAAACATCCACTGCTCCCAGGATTAGACATTATGTAGAAAACATCAGCCTTATTGTTAGAGCTGTCACTGTTGTCAGCTTTTGTGACAGGCCACAAGAGGGACTTCTATAAATGATGTTTAGAGAGGGTCCCCAGTGAGGCTGTGGCCTCAATGCGGATGTAAGGATTTCTAATGAAAAGCAGACGAAGAGGAGAAAATCCTTTTTTTTTTCTCATACATTAGAGAGAGAGAGAAACATGTGCTGCAGCCATTTGTCATAGAAGTATAAAAACTATTTTATGTTATATTTTTGGGAAATTATTTAATTTAATTTACTCTCACAAAGTATTACATTTTGCTACCAAATTGTTTTTTTGGTAATAGAAAATTAGTGAAAAAATGCTCCGTTTTTGAGCATTTTAGGTAAATTACATTTTTATATTTATGTGATCAATGTGATGTTTTTGTTTGTCATAGTAATTTTGATTTTCTACCATGGTGATACTATAGGCCACACCTTTGTCAGTGATTTTATAGTTTGACTTTTACATATACTGACTCTGTATGATTTTTTAGGGTGTTAATTGATTTTTAATCTAAAGTGAGACATCTGCTGTGACTTCCACATGCATATGAGACCAAAAAAAAAAACAAAACAATTCAAGTGAGAGATAAATTCAACATTTAGCCTAAGTCTTTTTGCCCATTTAGGTAACATTCCCTCCCACACAGGTGCAATAAAGACTGTGTAGAAAGGGCAACCTTGACATTTTTGTTTGTTTGTTTGTTTTTTTGTTTTTTTATGAAATTAGTTGATGATGGAAAATAGGCAAAAGTGCAAAGTACATGAGTTCCATCAAGTATTTTTGTTTGTTTTCCTCACATTATAGAACACGTGAACATCTACAGCTAGTGCAGCAGCCCTATCAGTGAGACATACTTCAGTGAAGTCAGCAGTGAGCACAGTTTGTATTTCTCTAGTCTCTGTGACTCTGTTACTCAGCAGTAAACAGTCCACAGAGACATATGTGTGGCCTGAGAGCCCAGCATCAGCCTGAGGCCATCACAGGGCACTTCCTCTACTTTGTCTTTTCTGTCACTCAGAACAGCTCAGCCATACAGGGAGAGGATGAGCCTCATGTCAAGCAGACGGACAGATGGAAATATAGTCACAAAGCGGAGGACCGGCCCGTCCCAGAGTGAGGGAGAGGTAAAAGACAAAATAAAACCCACACAGGGCCTGCAGATTGGCCAGACTCGGTGTGTATCAGTGTTAACCCTGGGGCATTATTTGGCACCCCTGCCCCACCGTGTCCTCCTCCTCATATGTCGCTCTGCCAGGGTCTACCTGTGCACATCCCCACGGACCCTGTTGTAACTGTTCTATTCTAAGACCTCTTCTTGAGGGGATGAGAACAGACCGATCAATAGGAGTTATCAATGTCAGGGTTGAATTCCTGCAGACTAACTTATTATTGGTGTCATTTGTTTACCAACTGCACTGAGCTATTTAAGACCAGGTTATTTACACAGTAACAAAACAAATGTATCATGTTTGGCCTGATTCATGAAGTAATCAGTTCACCACTAAAGATTCATAATTCTTCTCAGTCTGCTGTTGTCAGCTATCTAACAGATTTCCGCCAAACATGAGCATTCTCCCTTTACAATAACAGATCTTAATTAACTTCAAATTTTTAACAACGTACAATGTACAGTGTACAATAGTACAATGTAAATTTTTATTTAATTACAAAAGACATGATTTTGACAAAAAAATACCAGAAAACAGAATCTCCATCATTAATCGATCACTAGAAGTGGAAAGTAACGTTTAGGGACTTTTCCCTATGCTAGTATTTTCTCTTTCTGACAGTGGTTTCTTTTGAAGGTAAAAAATCTATTTAAAACTAATTTTAATTCAGGGGCCACATACAACCTAATTAGATGTCAAGGTGGCCGGACCAGTACAAGCATAACATAATAATTTATAAATTATTGTGTTTTTCCTTTTTGTTTTCATTCAAAGTAGTACAAGTATATTAGATATTTATTATTATTATTATTATTTATAAATTTTTAATTAAATAATAATAATTTTACAAAAATGATCTTGAAAATTAAGTGTTTGTATACTTTTTAATTTTCAAAATTCATCAAGCAGTCAAGATTTAACATCCTAGTACGCTGGTTTTGGCTATTGTGGTGCCAGTATTACAACACTAAAGATCCCAGCTAGTTAAGTAGTAAAGTGTCATGGAATGTGGGGCAGGATCATATCACAGCCCGGTAGTAGTGTAAGTTTGAACTGTAATTTAAAGTTATCTGAGAAAAAAATCTACTATATAATGCACAAAACAAAATGTCACCCTATTTTTTTCATCTCTGCAGAAAAGCATTTCATTTTCTCTTTTTTTATTAAATCAACATTAATGTTGTTGTTTTTTTAATCTAACTAAGCCTTGAAGATGTTTTACTTACTTCTCTTCTCATTATTGTCCCCTGAACAAAATCACAGTGGTAATGGAGACATTGAAAGAGGTGCAAAGCTACACACAACACCTAGCAGTTGCCTTTATTACCCTGTTATTTATTATTACAAGTGGGGAGTGGTCCCTTGGTTAGTTCTGCTTTAGATAACTGCTGCATCCCATGTGTCTAAATGTGAGTATTTTAAATAAATTAAGCTTCCAGTCACTCGTCTAGATAATTTAAACTGCATTTATAGCATCCCCTGCAGGGGAAGAAGATGTAAAACAACCTGCTATTTTTTTGTGTGTTTTTTTATTTGTGTTAAGTGTTTGCATACAATAACATTAATTTGTAAATTATTAAATAACAATTGTCCATCTTGTCAGTCAGGATTTATGTTTGACAAACCCCTTCAAATCCACACTGAGTCTGGGAGGATGCTCTGCAGGATGCAGTCAGACTTTCAGAGACAGGTCAAGCTGCAATCTGACCCTATTTATGAATAACAAAGAGTCCAAAATAGAGGGATCCATTAAAATTGAACGAAGATACAGTGCACAGTAAAGAAGGTGAGATTAAAGTGTCAATTAACTGTTGACATTTATACATCCAAGCCAGACTCTCATAAGTGAGAGCATTAACGATTTGTGGTCGGTGTGAGTCATTAAAGTGTTTATATATATATATATATATATTTGTTTTTTGTACAAAGGATTTTTTATAGGATGGATACTCTCTATGTTAGCCAATCTCGAGCTAATCCGGGATACACCAGAGCAGGTCACTAGTCATTAACCCCACATGTTAATGCCTCCACCATCTCCAAATAAAATAACATCGACCTTGTTGTTTTGAGATTATTTCTGGTTATTGCTGAGAAAATTATTTTCTTGTCACCTGGTAATGACTCAGAGAGAGAGGAAATATAATCCGCTGCGTGACAGCAAGTCACCATGTGAAAGAACACAGGTGCATATTGTGGTCATAACACTGTGTGTGTGTTTTGGCGTATTTACTCTAGCAAGCATCTTCACTGATGTCAGTTGCGCTCTATACGAAAACAGTCCTTTGCAGCGTGATACGTTTTCTGCTTTGTGATGTCCTGTACCATGACCTCTTGGCAGGTACACGAGGAAGGCTCAAATGACTGGGAGCGATCCATTGAAAAAAAAAAAATTCCTTTCTCTGTTGCAGCTCATTTTTGCTTCACAGGAATCCAATAAATTCGCCATGGATCCATATACCAGACATGTCACTAACCAACTTAAGTCTACTCCTAATATAAATATGTTTTTAAAAAGATAAAGGTCCAAGCAGATAAATAGGAGGAGACTAGCTTAGCTTTCGTTCTTTTTCAAATGGCTCACATAAAAGTCGTGTATTTCGCTAGGTATTTTTGCAGCTGTGGAAGTTTAATGCCAGAATCACACAAAGAATCCCAGCATTGTCTGTGATGTGCTGCCAGTCTGGCTCCAGCTGCCATCATGGCAGTGGCAAAAGCTGGCAAAAAGCATCATTGTCCCAAGTGAGATTATGAGTCTTTGAACATGACTGGGTTATAGATGAAAGTTATTTAATTCTGTAACGTATCTCTTTGAAATGTACAAGCAAACCTAGAACAATTCCCGCTCCCCTGACACAGGGGCTAGACACGGATTGAGCAGCGGCTACAGTGTCATGTTTTCATACAATCAGTTTATTTTGAAAGATATTTTTAACATCCCTTGCACCTTTAGCAAAAGCCTTAATGCTCCTTTGTGGCAGGCACTGCAAGGGATGCCTCTCACCCTACAGGACTGTGGGCTGGGGGCGTGGTTTACGCTGCCTATGTTTTGGCGCGCTGAGTTGTTGAAGTTCAGTTGTTCTGCGCTTTTGGAATAAAGAGTAAATATTATGGCATGCCGTTCAGGAAATTAATCTTTGAATATATATACAAAAAGTCTGCATATATATACAGAAAGTTTGAATATTGTTAACGATCTAAGCTCACTGTTGTGAGGGATTCAGAATAGCATAACGTTAATATAAGGATGATAAAAAGGTTATAATTCATTGTAAATACTTGTTTGGAAATATATTATAATATTTCTATATGTTATTATTTGATAACGTTGTCCAGTGTGCTGACGATCGATAATTTGCGTCTTGCAGAAAGGAAAAGAGCGACAGTAATGCAAAGCTTTTTATGTATGTATATTTGTTTACCTTATTTGAAGATATTTTATTTGAAACTGTCAGTGTAGTGTGTTCTCTTTAAACTATTAATTTGTATTCGATCGTTCATGCTTACTTCCGCGAGTGAAGCGTGGTCCGTAAAAAAAGTATAAGAAGTAACGAAGAGTGAATAAAGAAAGACGTTCATATAGAAGCTGCTTGTGTCGCTTTGATGTTATTTATTTATTCTTTTACATACTTTATACGTCCCGCTATGTGGGCACAAGATACAGGAGCCTGGCAGGTTGTGCAGGCGTAGCTGCGCACTGATACGGACAGTGTGGTCAAATACGCTTCATATTTTTGTATATATATTCAGGATATTTGTATATATATTGAGACTTTTTGTATATATATTCAGGATTTTTGTATATATATTCAGACTTTTTGTATATATATTCAGACTTTCTGCACAAAGACTGAATATATATTCAGAAATTTGAAGCGTATTTGACCACACTACCCTTATCGGGGCGGACCTACGCCTGCTACCACCTCCTGTACCTTGTGCCCACGTAGCAGGGCATAAAAAATATTTTAAAAAATAACAGCAATGTGAGACAAGCACCTTTGATATAAACGTCTTCATTTATTCACTCTTCGTTGCTTTGCTGCTTCTCTTCTCCTCTTTTCTCTCTCTCTTTTTTTTTCTTGTTTTTACGGACCACGCTTCACTTGCAGAAGAAAGAATGAACAATCCGGTACAGAACAACACATTTTCCGTGAGTCGACAAGGAACCTGTGAACAAATCAATATTTTAAAGACAACACAGTACACTACGTCATATGACAGCTATCAAACAAAATATCTTCAAATAAAAGTTAACATAAATCACTCTTCATATTACTGTTGCTCTTTTCCTTTCTGGAAGACGTAAGTAATGATCGCCATACACTGGCGACACATATGGGGATCTCCTGTGCCACCTGGTCGGTGGTAGCAGGCGTAGCTGTGCCCCGATTGAGGCACTGTGGTCAAGAGGGTTTCAATTTTTTGTATATATATTCAGGATTTTTGTATACATATTCAGACTTTTTGTATATATATTCAGACTTTCTGTGTACCGTATATATATTCAGACTTTTTGTACATATATTCAGACATTCTGTATATATATTCAAAGATTAATTTCCTGAACGGCATGCCATTATATATAAATATATACTGTATATACTGTATATATATACAGTATATTAATGATCCAGTCTTTCATGCAAAGGCCTTGTGGTTCCTTTGTTATTGTGTGAAAGAAGCTGTGTTTTCACTGCAACATACCTTGGGAAATTACAATATGCAATGTAAGCAGAATCTGAGTGCACAGTGTCCTCACTGTGGTCTGCAAAAAACATTTCAAACACCAGTGGGTATATTAAAAGATTCATTCATTCATTCGTTTCGTGCTGCTTTACAGCCAGGGAGCTGGAGACAATCCCAGCAGGCAACAAGCCACAGACAAGGTACAACATGGACAAGTCCCCAAATAAAGACAAACCGCAATTTACACTTGTCCACATTTGTCCAACCATACAATGTTTGTATAGAGTAAACAGTAGCTTGTGTCCTTGAACAAATGAAGGAACACACACATCCTGAAGCTCCCACGACCACTGACACACACGCAAACTATACAAATTTGAATTAGCTTCTGTTTTCTCCCTACTACTCCTTAGTGTGAATAAGCTCATGTCCATCCATGAGTGCGTGTGTGTGAGTGAGTAAATATTCTCACCACAGTTAGGCAGGTTCAGTCTGGACAACAGCTTGCGGGCTCCTCCGTCCTCAATGCAGCGTAGATCCTGAATGTCAGCTTCCTCCCCTAACCACAGTTTGATCCACATGTTCTCACAGGAACAGTGTAAAGGGTTCCCTGACAGGGTTCTTTACATACATATAGAGGGAGAGCACAGATTTAGTCAAGAAGAGCTGTTGGCATACAGAAAAAAAGAGAAAAAAAATCATTAAGCTATGGCTTAAATATGTCAAGCTGCACTAGTGAATTAAATAACCTGAATTTGACGCTGGGAAAAATCAGCCTTTTTCCTTTGCTATTAGGCTTGGTGGAGATGATTGACACATTCACAGTGTCGCTTTGTTCAGCGTAAAATTGTGGATAAAACTAAAAGATAAAATTGCTAAAATTCTCTAAAAACCTGATTGAATCATACAGATTTATACTGTATTCCCCTTAGTCATTTTAATAAGGCTGTATTTTTCTAAAGTTATAAGATATTCATTATTGGAAAACAGACTGTAAAACCGAAGTTAAAAAGGGGTGATTTGAGGTAAGTCAGGATTATCACAGGAGAAACTGCCTACCAGTATTCTAGATGCTGAATCATTCAATTTTTCAAAGCAAAAACAGAGGCATGTGGCCTGAATGGTCCTTTATCTTTATCTTTATCTTGGCTGCTTTAATTCATGATGCCTTGGTGTGGTTACCCTAAGGCTAATAACAAGCCTCGGATAGCCACAGCCTTTGATTTGCATATTTATTCAAATTTAACAGCATAGCATTAACATAAGCCTGGAAGAAAGATTATTTTGATTTTTAGAACAGTAGTAAAATTGAAAGAAAAAAAATAATATAAGGCTTCACAAACCAGAACATGAAGTGTGTCAATTTAAAATTGGTAAGGAGAGACCATTCACACCTAGTGCCACAAATACAGAAGTGTGTTCCTCTCTATTCTGCTTCTAGGAAACTGCAAAGGCATTGTGCACATTTTGTGGGAGTGTCCACTGGTGTCACAAACACCAGTGGACACTCTGAGAGGGTATCTTAAGCAGTTGTCCGACTACATACACCCTGTGGTAGACAGTTTAAATGATGATTCATTTATCATCCAACCCCAGAGACTATTATAAAGAGATAGACTAAAGAGACTATAATTAAAAGGTGTGAGTCAGTGAAAGATGGCTCTGGATCTGAACTATCGTCAACATAAATTGACCTCAGATAACTGTCTTAATTTGTTGGACTGTATTATGTAAGCCTTTACTTTAAGCATAGGAAGATTGATAAGGTGGAAACAGATTTGGGCAGTAGATAATACACGCTGTGAGGACTTTGACTTATTGAACAATATTAATTTGTAAAGTTTTAAAGACGAAATCCTGATTTTTTCCCTTTTTTAAATAATTGTTTGCCCATAGGTTTACATTCATTTCCATACAGTATGAAACAGCCAGTCACAGCAAGCTCTGATGCTTATCTGTCCCCTTCAATCTTACTGCCTGGGTTTTAAACTGAAGAAATAATTAATGCCTGGCTGCAGGGAAACCCGAGATTGTGGGGCAGTAGTGGTAGCAAAGCTAAAACCTACATCATCCTATCAGGAAGCTACAAGTGACATCACAGGAGCTACACATGCTATAGATCTGAGCAGAAAGAGATAAGAAGAGAGTGAACCAGACATAGAACCAGAGAACGGCTGATAAACCTGGGCAGAGACAGACCTAGGGAAAATGGCGGCAGCAGAAAAACTTACAGATAAGAGATGTTGAGATGCTTGAATGGTCTCCAGTTCAGTGATGACAGGTTGTTATCTTTAAGATTCCTGTAAAGGAAATTTGAAGTCAGAAAATAGAACTGCATTTTTATTCCCACAGAAAAATGTTAGGACACAGACAACAGACTTCCTGCACATGTAACTACACACATTATTATCTGATGAGAATAATTAGCATCAAATGACCATATTTGTGATTGGGTTACAATGGGGTACAATATATTTATAGTACGTTTGTAATATATAGAATAACACGTGGCTGTAAGAACATCAATAGAATGCTGTATAGGCAGTATTTATAGAAA